TTTTAGGTATACAATACAGTTACATTCATCATTGGGATCTTGTACCTTTACGTGATGTATCTTGGTTCTTATATTTTCCCCAATCCCCTGAAGGGCAGAGATTTTTGACTTTTTTATCACTTTATTTAACCTGATAGCCTAAAAACAGCACACAGTAGATTCTAAGTAAATAATTAATTCAATTGAACAGAACCTCCTCATTAATCTCATTCTCCTAAACCCCCTGTATTTGTTGGAACTGATGTCTTCCTTTTTTTTTGGTATCGGGGATCGAACTCGGGTCTTTGTTCTTGAAAGGCAGGTGGCGGAACCACTGAGCTAAATCCCCGACCCGATGTCTTCATATTAAGACAAGAAATTTACTGCAGGGAAATTTATGGCCTGCTAGATTAAGAAAATTGAAATTTGAAATTAATTTTTTCCACCCTGTTGGCCACAGTCCTTGTTTTGGTCTGTAAGAAGAGTGAAAGACCATTTAATATTGTTCAGAAAGCTTTTAAACAAAATTGTTTAAAATGGTAGAGCAAGAAGAATACTACAGATATTTGTATTTTAGTATTCTGTTCCCCTCTGGGTTTTTCAAATAATAAATGTTCTTTATAGAAGATACAATGTGTTAACTGCTCTGGTGGCCCTAACAGAATACTACAAACTTTTTGGCTTAAACAGCAGAAGTTAATTTTCTGGAGACGGAATTCCAAGTTCAAGGTGTCATTAGGGTTGGTTCTCGTGGATTCTCTCTCCTTGTATTGCAGATGGCTGCCTCCTTGCTGCTTGTCTTCCTCTGGCATCTCTTTTTATAAGCATTGCTATGGAATGAATTCTTTTCAGAGCACTTATCATTAATTACTTCCTTAATAACCCTGTCTCTAAATGCAGTCTCATTTGGGGGATATGCATTTTGAGGGAGGAATGGTTTAGTTTATAATATATAGAAAATGATGATGAAGAAAAATTAACCTATAATGCAACAGTTAACATTTCAAAAAAATTTTCATCATATTTCCTTAGCATTTTAAAATGTTAGACATTATACATAGTAGTTTTTCACTTCACATTATATAAAATGAAGTTAGGGATTGCAAAGTCAGATATAACAGAAATTTAAGGTAATGATAACTAACATTTCTTGAGCCCTAACTCTGTATCAAATACTCTTCTGGGCGAAATATATATATATATGTATATATATATATATATACATATATATATATATGTACGTATATATATGTGTGTATATATATATATGTAGTGTATTGTCTTTCTTAACTTCACAGATACTCTATAAAGCATGTACATTTTTTTTTTTTGGTACCAGGGATAGACCTCAAGACCTTGTGCTTCCCAGGCAGGCATGGTGCCACTGAGCTAAACCCCCAGCCCAAGCATATATATTATTATCTCTATATTTTAGATGAGTAGGGAGAAAAGGAAAATATTTAAGGACACAGAGCACATTAGCACTGAGACTCAGCTTATGAAATGACTAAAGTGGGCCAGATGGATACTGTGGTATACTGCATAGAGCACACTACAATTAATGAGCAGCCATTCCTATGAAGAAGTGGTAGTGTACATTTTTTTTTTGATGGCAGACAGAAGAGTGTGTGTGTGTGTGTGTGTGTGAGCGTGCATGTTGTAATGGCAATTGGGAACAGAAACACTTGAATCATACAAGTGTTGTCTACAGTTTGTATTTACCACACATTTATAAAGTAGAGACTGTAATAGTAGTATGGTATCTACATTTTAAATTTGAAAAAATTAAATTAGAATATTTTAGGTGAAACATTTACCTGGTTTAGCTCAGTATCTGGTGCATAAGGCTGTATAAATATTAATTCTCATTAGTAGGATAAGCTTTTTTTCTAGTCATCAAAATTCCCTGTAAGAATCATTTGCCATTGTTTTTATCCTAAGAGTTTATAAAAAATAATGCATAATTACATGAGTATGTTATAAAAACTCAGGGTAGTTGCATAGAGAGTAAATGACTGGAGTTTCATTTACTTCCTATACATTTTTCTACTCTTCATATAAAGTGTAATTAAAAACCCTAGAGGCTATATTTATCTGTTACTCTGTTTACCTAGTACTTCTTGGAGATCTCCTTAAGTCAGTTTAAACAAAGTTAGTACATTCTTTTTAAAGGTTTCACAATATATCCTTTACTGTGGATATATCATAATTTTTTGAACTAGGCCTCTCAATTTAGCTGGTTTTCAGTTTTTTGTTGTTATAAAAAAGTCTTTCCAAAGGGTACATATCTTTGTACATGTCTGTGAACATTTCCCTTTGCTAGAGTCCTGCAGGCAATTTCTATGTCAAAACATACTAAGAATTTTCTCAGCTATTCTACCTTTGCTAAATATATTTTAGTAACTTTGTAATATTTCATTTTGTAAATATACCTGTATTTACTTTACCATTTTCTTATGATGCATCATCATAACACATAGCCATTTCCATTTTTTACCACTATAAATGATCCTGTGATAAATATTTTTGTGAGCAGATTTTATTTTTAAAAGATACATACTTTAGTCTGAGAGGAAGTTGTCAACTGTTAAGTAGGTTGCTGAGACGTTACTTTCCAAAAGCTATTAAAAGACAAAGCAATATATTATTCTTAGAAAAAATAAAGTCAAGGTTCAGGCTTTAAATTTAAATTCTTAGAAGCTTACAGTTTTGTTTCATTTTAGGTGTTGTCCTCAGTAATGAAGATCACTGTGAAAGAGAAGGTTGAATAACACTGGACCTGGATTAGAGGTTTAAAAAAGAAAGTTAAATGAATCATTTCAATTTTTGTATTCTAATTTCAAATATGAAATTATTTTTCTAAACAGATTTATGGAGTAGAAATTAAAATTCAGTGATATACCAAAGGATGTGCTAATATTTGTTCTGGCATTTTTTTTTCTTTGCATATGAGAGAAGAGAATAGATAGCTAGAAGCTATAATTGTTCATAATGAAATATACTAAATCCAATTTTATGATGTCAGTTCTTGGCATTATAATCTATATAACTGATTTAATTGTGGACATCTGGGTATCTGTCAGATTTTTCCTTGAAGGACAATATGTTTTTGGTGTTTTAACATTAAGCTTTATGCTTTTTGGAACATTAGTGGTCCAGTGTTTTAGTTATTCTTGGTTCAAAACTGATTTGAAGAAAGAAGGCCAAGAAAGTCAGTGTTATTTTCTTCTACTTCATTGCTTACAAGGAGGAGTTTTTATAAGGTGAGTGTGCACTTTTGATCACTAACATTGTTATTCATTTATCCAAACATTAACTAGCTATTTGAATCTGGGAAGTCAAATGTGCAAAGGTCTCCTATTTGTAAGTAGCACAAAGGTTACTTTCTCTTCACTATTGATGTTTATGAGCCATTGCAATATTGTCAGACTTTTCCAGATTCATTAATACAGTATTTTAACTTACCAAATTAAGTTACTTTTTCTGTTGTGTACTTACTTTGATCCTTTTATGTGCATTCTAAGTCTGACGGTGCAAATAAGCTTATCATTTGTAACTCTGAAAGAATACTTTTTTTTTTGCTACCGGGGATTGAACTCAGGACCTTGAGCTTGCAAAGAGGGTGTGGAACCACTGAGGTAAATCCCTGGCCCAAGAACACTTTATTTTTAGTTTGATGCAATCTTTCTTTATTTGGTACCAGGGATTGAACTTGGGGCCTTGAGCTTGTGAGGCAGGCGGCAGAACCACTGAGCAAAATCCCTGGTCCTAATAACACTTATTTTTAAAGATTACTTCTACCACTCATTTGCCTAAATGAAAATTGTACCATAATCTATAGTCATAGTAGCTAGGTACAGAGTTGTAAGACAACTGAAAACAACCTTGAAAATCATGTTAAAGATTAAAAAAACCTGGAAACGAAATAGACCTTGACAATTTCATGATTAACTGTACTTCTAATTTAATATGGTATTTTTATTATTAGCTGAGAGGATTTTGTTCTGTTAAAAACAATATATATCAAAATTGAAAAGTTAATGACACATTAAGAGAGGATAACAGTACTTTTTATAGTTATATTTTGATCAATTTTTTTTTTTTGAGACAGGGGCTCACTATATAGCTGAGACTGACCTGGAACTCACTCTGTAGGCCAGGCTGATCTTGAACTCACAGCGATCCTGCTGCCTCAGCCTCCCAAGTGCTAGGATTACAGGTGTGAGCCAGCACTCCCGTACTATTTTGAGCAATTTTAATAGTTACCATAAAGATTTATTTTGATTTTGTCCTGTTAAATAGCAACAAATTCATGTCTATTAGTTGAAAATATTTGTAAAAATAATTTTTAAAAATTATATTTAAGTAGTAATGTTATTATATTAGTGTAGAGTTATAGTTTTCAAGTATTTTCACACTTTTTCTTTTTAAAATAGTTATTAAGATTATGATATGTAAGATAAAGTATACTATGAGAAGTTTGCAGGTTTTAGGGGTGCTATAAAGAAAGTACTTCAGTTGTTGGTCTTGGAAGTCAGTTTTGGAATTGCACATTCTCAAAATGAAAATGCTTAGAGCACAGTAAAAGCATTGGTAACCAAATAGATATATAGTATGTAAGGTTTAATGAGTGTTCTGTATGGTCAATAATTATGTAGGTTGTAATGTCTGAAGAAGGATAAAAATTAATTCCTCTTGCAGCATTTAGAAATATGATAAAGATGAGTTTATCATTCAATTAATGGAAAAATTTCACATCTATAGAACTATTTTCATTGGTGTTTCAACTGTAAGATATTGTGCTATATATTATAAATTGTATTCAAAACAAAATTGCTTTGACTTTGTTTCTTGATATGCTTAGTAATATTTAATAATGTTTAATTGAATGTCATTCATGGGGAATAAAATTATACTGTCTCTGGATGATGCTATTTTCCCTTTTCTCTGCTAGGCATTTAGAATAAATGGCAGTTACTTTTGATTTGCCTTTGCTCCTAGGATATAGCCTCAGGACACTGGAAGCCTCTTGTAGTCATCCTCATCCTATAATTAGTCTTCATTTCCTTGGCACTACAAGATTACCAGAAGCTATGCTTTACTTTTCTAAACTTTCTGCTTAAATTTCAGCCTGTATCCTACAACCTGTATATATCAAATATATAATATATAATATTATAAATACAATTATATTTTTCAAATAGAATATAAGCTGACAGTGAGGTCCCACAGTTCTGTAAGACCTTTAAAACCTATGCGGATCTCTCTATTTCCTTGCAGGGGCAAAATCCAAATTTTCAGTTTCTTTTCTCTAGTAACATAATCAGCAAATACTTCTGGGCAGTGAGCATCTGTAGAAACATCAACTCAGTTTTTAATTTCTCTAGTTATTTTGGCAGAAGTATTGTTCTGCATTCTACCTAAAAGTGTAGTCTATAATGTGCAATTATAAGTTGTCCTAAATGTAAAGTAAAACAAATCTTTTACTGTTAATTATAATAATATGAAGATCTCAAAGCACTTGGATTCCTTTTACTGTGTTTTCAATTTATACAGCAATGTTGCTGGCATTTTAATTCTTATTATAAATCTCACTAGGTGTTATTATTCCTGTATTCCTGTATCTATCTTATATAGTCAAATTTTATTGAAGTTTGTTTATATTTACTAGTCTATTTTTTTTTATTCCCTGTTTAGTCACTTGTTTTCTTCCTTTCTGAGATCCATCATTTACAGTTTCATCTACTGAGGCTCTATTGTTGTTATCTGTCAAATTTGGATGACTTGAAAATTCTATAGTCTTTGAAAAGTTCTAAATAAGTACTTACAGCATTTTATCTTTGCATAGTATCTTTTCTTGTGTTGGTTTCTATAATTTCTCTTGGAGGAGTTAGATTTCAGACTTACTTGCTCTTTTGAAGATACTTTGTCTTTTTCATGGCTGGCTACTTTTGTGATTTTTCTCTTTATTTTAGAGTTTCATACTTTATGGTATGTTTAGGGATAGATTTCTTTTTATATCTCTTATTTGGGATTTGCTGGTCCTCTTGATTCTGTGATTATCTTCCACCATTTTTTGGCACAATTCACAGCTGTTATCTTTTTTAGCATTTGCTTTACTACATTTTGTCTCTTTTCCTTCTAGGACTGCAATCAAATTTAAGTTAGACTTTATTATTATATCTACATGATAGATTTTTAAAAATACTTTTAACTCCTTATGGTACATTTTGTATAATTTTTTGCATAAGAAAAAATTTCAGGGCTGGGGATTTAGCTCAGTGGTTCCACTGCCTGCCTTGTAAGTGCAAAGTCCTGAGTTTGATCCCCAGTATTAAAAAAAAAAATTCACAGTTGTCTTCACAAATATTTTCTTTTGCAGTGGTCCAGAGGTTATTACATCTAACCACTGAGTTTTAAATTTTAATATTTACTTTTGCTTTTAGAAGCTCTTTTAAAATATCTGCTATATCATTATTTATAGTTTCTTGTTCACTGCAGGTATTTTCAGATTTGCGTTTTATATCTTTAAACATAATAAGTATGTTTTATTTATAATA